TGACTCACGATTCTTCTGTATCATTCTCAATGGGATGGTTACTCGGTTCCATGTGTTATCTGCTTTGGCTTTGAATACTTGGACTTCAGTGTGATATTGCATTCTGGATTTCTGTGCTTCGTCCATACTAATGTTCCTTGCACTTTCTTCAGCCCTTCACAACAGCCGTGGCTGCCAGCTAGTACAGCTAGTTCGCACATAATGTAAACTCGATGACATTCTCCCCCACAAGCTAAGTGGCTCCCACCTTGCACTACCTCACCCCCGACTTACTCCACCTCCTGACCAGTAACTATCACTGAACCTTATACCTGGCTTGTCCATCTACTGCGACAATCTACTCTCTTGCAGGTGACTGGTGGCAGGGAAAATAACAACAACAACAACAAGAACAGCACCAACAACACCAACAACACCAGCACCAGCACCAGAGCCAGCAGCAACAGCAACAGCACCCCCACGACCAGTAATAACAATAACTATGAATGGACACAACAACGACAATAATGATGAGCCCACCACCTCCTCTGTACTGCTCTTTTTGGCAAAACGTTCTACCTGGCTTTGGCATCGGGGTTCATCAGCACGTGTCAGGTGAATTTCTTGCAGCCCCCCAATGGGGAGGAACTACATGGGACTCGGGTAGAAATTTCTTAGATTTTGCGGCCAGATAGATATGCATTTCATTCTTTAAGAACAAGCTGAGCATGAGGCAAAAAAAAAAAAAAAAGCACGGAAGGCTATCTGACTGAAAGCGCAGCTAAGATCCACGGGGCCGGTTTAAGAACAAGCTGAGCATGAGGAAAAAAAAAAAAAAAAAAAAAAAGCACGGAAGGCTATCTGACTGAAAGCGCAGCTAAGATCCACGGGACCGGGACACTCCTTTTTTCTTTCCTGGAAAGGATGTCAAATAGGGCATGATATGTACTTGTATTTGAACACGTGGCCAGTTGTATTTGAACATGTGGCCAGGGGGAACCTGCCGACTTTGTCGTGGACATGAACAGCCGGCACAACACGACTAACACAGCAATGCCCAAAGCGCAGGGGGGGCCGGTTCCCGCTGGCTGACATGAACAGCCAGCACAACGCCACTAACACAGTAATGCCCAGAGCGCAGGGGGRACCGGGACACTCCTTYTKTSKTTCCTGGAAAGGATGTCAAATAGGGCATGTTATGTACTTGTATTTGAACATGTGGCCAGGGGGAACCTGCCGACTTTGTCGTGGACATGAACAGCCAGCACAACGCCACTAACACAGTAATGCCCAGAGTGCAGGGGGAACCGGTTCCCGCTGGCTGTGGCATCGGATCACCACAAAAAAAAAAAAAAAAAAAAAAACCTGCTGAGAAAAAAAAGACTCCACTTTTTTTGTCTTTGGGGCACATGGTGAGTAGTGGAGCGAGGCCCTACGGCGATATCGGGCCTCACTCACTCCACTACTCACCAGGAGCAAAGTTGAAATGAATCATCCGCTACAACATCGAAAAGTACATGAAAAGTTGAAAACAAAACAACAAATCTGCTGGGAAAGAAAAACAACGAATCTACTGGGAAAAAAGCGTCGAATCTACTCTAGGAAAAGAAAACGACTCTGCACGTTGCGATGCTATGTAATTGTATTCAAACATGCACCGGCCCACGTGGATTGGAAACAACAGCAGTTTCGTTCGGCCCGCCCCTGCTCCCGGCAGTTTTCCCAACACTGGAAGGCAGGTCTCGCATGGGAGCGCCACGCGAGACCCGCTATGTGGTTTATAAGAGTAAGAGACATGTGATGGGGCACATGCATCTCCTCCCTTTTTGTCTTTGAATCAGCACATAAAGGACAACACATTCCCATTCCCTGCCATCAATATAATATTTTCCCTTTTCTCTTTCCACTTTCAAACCCCCTTTACCAAACTTCACGCAAATGCACCAAGAACTCACAACAGGAAGGCGCAACAAACCAAATACTGTCATGGCCAGAGCCTTGCCATGCGATCAACCGATGACATGCCCCATTGCCAGCCACACCAGCATTCTTAGACCCACTGCGGAGCAACCCAGATTCATTTAAAAAAAATATTCTGGGAGGAGTGAGAACAGGAAGAAGACGAACAAGGAGGAGGATCAGGAAGATTGGTGGGAGGAGGAGATGGGTTTGGGAGAGGCTGCATAAGGGACAGGACCATTTGTAGAACACCGAGTTGTGCTGAGTGTGAACGAACTCAAGATGGCCACAAAAATCAGTATCAGAATAAACAGAGAAGAACCAGCGATGTAAATCAACTTACATCTGAATTAGCATGAACATACTCTTGAAGAGAATTTATTCTCCGACAGTACTTGGTCTTGTCCGCAATGTACGCACCGATGCTATACCGCTGTGATTGCACATGGGCATGCGACTTTTCCTGTACCATCGACATGGGGATTTCTGTGCCATCCAAGTTGGAAGACTCAGAAGCTGGATTGGATGAAGACTTCACACACCAAAAGGGACACCAAACAAGTAACAAAATTAGCTCTCTCTCTCTCTCTCTCTCTCTCTCTCTCTCTCTCTCTCTCTCTCTCTCTCTCTCTCNCTCTCTCTCTCTCTCTCTCTCTCTCTCTCTCTCTCTCTCTCTCTCTCTCTCTCTCTCTCTCTCTCTCTCTCTCTCTCTCTCTCTCTCCGCCTTCCGTTCACGTGCGGGACACATGATGCGAGATTCGCTTCCTCCTTTGGTTATATAGCCCACAGTTTTACACCTGCACTTTGGACTGTACAAAATGCCAATATAACCCACTCGAAAGATTCGGGCAGGGCATACATAGGCTTTACCCCCAAAAAACAATATCCCATGAAAAGGTCAGTTCCTGGTAGCCTCAAACCCTGTAAAACTTCTCAGTTCCGCTTGGCAGTCATCCCATGCACACACCATCATGGCACAGATAAGACAATACAGATTGAGAGCATTCACAAAGCAGTTTTCTTCAGAAAATGAAAATGTGTTTGCCCACCACCATACACTGGTCCCGGTACCATGCTATGGGTGCGGAGCACATACCGGGCATTTCTGTTAGGTCAGACTAAATCTCGGTTGATCCATGCCTGCTGCTGAGGGCATACTCACGCTAAGAGTTTTCCAACTAATCTCTGGGAACAATTCTGATCAGATACCTCCAGTGAAGGTCACCAAAAGTGGTTGATCCAGTAAACCCCCAGCATGAGTATGGCTCGAGATTCACGGACCATGGAGCAGCGATATCACAAATTCACATTTCCATGACATCATGAGTTCACACCTCATCAGGGAACACTCCACACACGAGATACAAATCAACACGATATGGGAACACTGCCGAAATTGCTTCGAAATCCAAGTCTTATACATGAGAGTCTCATGGATGTACACTGGCGGCAATGACCGCCACTCACACAATCAAGTCCCTCACTCTGTCTCGCAAGGTCTAACTACCCTCAGCTCTCTCTCTCTCTCTCTCCAGCAATGGGTGCCGGGCACTGTTGACTACCCTACTGAGTAGTACTGACTGCATCTCAAGCCTCACTCAGTTTTCGTCCGTGCAAAACCACAGACGCATTTCAGCAACAGACTCAAACGGAAATTGTGTTGCCATCTAGCTGCTGCTGCACTTTCTTACTTGTTGCAGTTCCCAATCTTGGACTTTTTGGACCGGTATTGTTTTCCTGCCTGTCGGCCATAATTCCCTTTGACGCTTCAGTTAGTTCCCAGCCTTTCCCAGGACTGCACTACTAATATTAGAACCTGACTGTCAACTGTACTGACAAAAGTCTAATGACGTACGGGACTGGCTGTACGGATGGACCTACTGCATCCTACAGGTGCTACGGTACTAGTGGGCCTACTGGTTGGGCTATGACACATGGGACTCGGGACTTTGGAGATTCTGGGACCGGCACTGGGACTTAGGCTCAGAAATGTGTGAAATTCTTTCAGTGGGTTCAAGCTAGCAAGTGTTTTGCTCCATGAGGCCACATCTCTTCTAAATGATCATACACAACTTGCAGCACACCTCCAATAGCTTGGTTGGTTTGGACACTCATTTGGCTTATATTGAAATTCTGCCATGAATTTTGTTCTCGTGATCGAGTTGTCCGTCCACTCCTTCAAGTCGAACAAAGCAAGCGACATTATTAGTTACCACAGTCACTCAAGTGCAAACAACAGCAAGCATCAGGTAGTGCCAAGTACGTCCCTTTCTTACAAGCTTGCTGCCTCCTTCACATTGTTGCCTTCCCACACTGTCAATGTACCTGATACATATAACACAGCCTGCCCCCTATAGGGTACAGTTATCGTAGCTGTACTTGGGGCAACATCGAGTCTAGACACAGCAATAATTACCATACATTTTATTGGGGTGAAGACAGTTGAATTTTTACATCATTTCCGATCAGCTATGTGCACCCGCAGTTGCTACAGCGGGGTCGATCCCAGCCCGCGGTCAGGATCTCAACCACGGCACCAAACCGCCTATTTTTTGGTATTTTAAAAAATAAAAAAAGAAAACTGTAAAAACAAAGATAAGAATACACAAAAATGTGTGTGAATATGTGTGTGTGTGAATATGTGTGTGTGTGTGTGTGTGTGTGTGAATGTGTGTAGATGTGCGTGTGTGCGAGGGGGGAGGGGGGCAACCCCTCCCCCACCAATCAATCAATCAATATATCAATCGAAGAAAAAAAGAAA